ATTAAAACTTTTTTTTAAAAAGTTGAAGATTTAAATGACCATTGACCATTTTCCCTGATTTAATTCCATAAATTTTTGCTGGGTTCATTTTATTCTCAGTTGTGAAGTTAAACCATTCTTGATTACGACATTTTAATCCATGGATAAAGAGAAATTACCACCTTTCACTGTATGAATCTCGTCGATTAAGCAATAAAATTGAATCAAAACATGACAAACTTTTAAAACCAAAACAAAAAAAGTGAAAGACATGAAAAGATTTCCAAGCAAAAAAATATGTGCATAAAGAGCAAAAACAAGAGCTTATTAAGTGAACTTTTACACTAAACAAGTGCATGAGTCATTCTGTACAAGTCTCCAAGACCAAAAAAATGGAGCATACCGTCATTTTTAAGCTCCCACCAAACATGGTAACCTCACAAGTCAAAACAGATCAAGAACCTGCAAAATATAACAGAATCATCTAATTAATTGTTACGGACTTGAGAAATAATAATCAGTAACGTATCTATCACAGAAGTAAATGAAGATAGATTTCATACCTACGTTTACAAACACATCAACCAAGGTCAACTAATCAACTTCAAAAATGCAACCACCATCGGGGAAAAACCGGGATACCGTAAAGACCATACTGCTGCTGTATACAAGACCATTTGCTTCAAGTGGATTTTTTTTGGCCAGAGAGAAGGATAACGTCGTCTTAAAGCTCCCAAAAAATATGGTAAAACCTTCTCATAAACAGTTCATCTTCAACAAATCTAAGAACCCTGCAAATATGATGAAATGAATCTTATTAATATATGTGTCCTTAAGAGTAATCGGTAACATATGATAAAATTTGATTCGTACCTGATAAAGCTTCAAGCGGATTTTTTGCCAGAGAGAATGATGGAAATCTGTAAACCTCTGCTAAAGGCTTCGTTGAACAAAATCCGTGTTTGCATATTCTGAAAACCAGGCAACCATGAAAGCAATGCAACTGGAGCCATAACGATTAACCCAAAGAACAGGTCGTAAAAGCGAGCAACGGAGATTACTGTGTCCCAAACCACTGTTGATATTAGAAACGGTCTCAGTACTTGAGCTATGGAAATCAATCCCCAACCCGTGGGAATAAAAGCCAAGAGACTTATCAACAGATCGACGACTGTAAGGTCAGTGAATTGCAGCATCAGCACGACCACAAGAAGCGTGAGCATGATTACTAAGAACTGAATGAATCTGTATTTAATATGCTCCTTAACGGAATATTTTTTCTGAGCATAGATTGTTGTGATGTATATCGCAGAAATCCCGATGATGCACCCCCAGGAAACCAAGTATACTCCAATGCTGGTCCGCTTACCCGCGATGCGAAGATGGTACACAATGCTATACTGGAAGAAGAAGAACCGAAGATCAAGTATAATCTCAAGCAGTTTTCCCCATACCCCGGTTGTTCTCAGATGATCTTGTTCCTCATTCCACCACGTAAACCAACTTTGATCTGCTTTTGTAAACAACCCGCCTCTGGACCATAGCCAATTCATGAAATCGTCAAAATCATTCACTGTCTTGAGCCAATCGAAACCAGATGGGTTAAACAGAAACGGAGAAAGAATCCAAGATGAAACAAGAAACCAGCTCGAAATTGTCATTAGTATGTAAACCAATGAACTCTTAGCCAGCGGGCTATAAGCCGCATATACCAACAAGATAATCGAGAGTTCAATAGCCTTGATGAAATGAGTTCGAGCATACAATCTATAGTTCTCAGCAAATTTCTTATGCTCCACCACGAAACCCCTTCCAGTGGCACGATACTTGGCTCCACCATGGAGTATAGTCCGACCAAAGTAATGGGTTCGAGTTCCCAAGGAAAACGTGTAGAAAAACGATGCAAGTTGTAGCTGCATTGTTATGAAGTCCCAAATTGCTGGAAGAAAACCACGCTCCAAAGAGTTTTCAAGAATCATTGGAAGTGCAGTGAAAAGTCCTAGCTGGATGACAAATTGCTGATTCAAGATTGCACCGAGAGCTTCATTGCTGCTACTCCTATCCTTTGCTATTCTCTCAACACCACTAAGAGCCAAATAGAGCCGACCCCACAAGAATGCATAAACAGTAAATACTAACAACATTGTGTTGAAGTAGTAGCCAACTGTTGTGTAGAAGAAAGACAGCATTCTAAAAAAGTCAAGCCTATGACCCAATCTGTAAACATCTCTGCTTAATGCTTGCTCGCCATTACCACTGGCTACTTTGGCTTCAAACATAGATATCTGATTCAGACCCACATCTCTTCCTTTGCCTACCTGAATGTATTCATGGTGAGTCACGTTCCCACCTCTTAAAGTGCAATTGAATCCAGCAAATATATCTTCACTGATATTTATAACTCTTGAGGCCTTGCTAATTCCACCCCGAGGCATAAACCAAAACCGATCAAACACATCCGGATGACCATAATGCATCCTCACTTTCAGTGGGTTGGCAAGAACACGCTGTCCTAGGGTTACAAAACTCGTTTCCTGAGCAGACATGAACCATGCAAGTGAAGATACCGAACCAGTGAAAACTTTCTCACGGACTCCAAGAATAGTAGGCTTCCTAATGCCATAGTGATTCTTGAAGGATTCCAACAAATTCCTCATCTTAAGTGCCTCCTCAAAATGGTTATCTTGATTCATATCAATGGTTTGAATCGCGTCACCTCGGGTAAAGATAATGGCATGGTTTTGGTTTTCTGGTTTGCCCTCGCCGAGCTTCAAGGGACCTGGCAGTCTGATTCGATAGATCTCCACCTCTCTCTGAAGTAGTTGATCAAATTTCACAAGAACTGAATAGTACTCGACCTCACCCCTTCCCAAGTCAACCTCATCAACAAATGCAATACGAAGGGCCTCATGATTTTTCATCAGGAACAGAATCTCCTCAGCTCTATGGTCCCCTTTTGCTCTATGCTGTCCATAAACTTGGCATGCCACAACATAGGTAAATTTCATCATAGCACTACCATACTCTGATCCTTTAAGCAAATGGCTTATACCACTTTCCATTCTGCTAATTTCCTGAGCAGATGTTGGTTGCAGCGTGTTATCCCCACCATCATTTGTGTAGTAGGAACGGCGTGGTTCAGGAGCAATTTGAGTTCCCATCCTGATGTCCATTTCGGAAGCAGAATCAAGAAAGGCAAGCTTCTTCAAGGCACTATAATAATACATCATCCCTCGCACTGTTCTGGACAACGTCTGTCCTCTATATGAAGCCCAGAGGCGAAGATCTCTAACCTTCCTCGACCAAATATCACTCTCCTCCACTCCCTCTCTACGCATCCGCTCCAGAAAATTCACCCATTCATCGTCATATATTTTTTGAAGGTAGAATAGAGTGGAGATTCCATCCTCATTCTCAGATCGGAGCATTTCTTGTCGATACATCACTTCCTCGTCATAGTAAGGAGTCAACACACTGAAAGCCATCATTTTTTCAACACTGGGAGCTTGGGGCATGTTCATAAAGAGAGAGTTGCTAAAGAAAGCAAGACGCTCTCTGGCCTCAATATTCTTGGGCACATTATGCATTGGATCTCTAGAAGTAAGAACTGTATGAACCCGCCTTATCTGCCTATAAAAGACAACATCATCAATGGGAGGGAGATTAATGGCATTGACAAACAGCAATTCGGTATCTGCATCCAAACTAATGGGCGCTAAGCCAAGCTGCCTCAACTGCTGAGTACTCCTCCTTTTTCTTGGAAATTCCCATGCGCAGAGTTCATAAAGAGCTTGCATTATATTCACAATCCTGAATACTTTCTTTTCTGGGTCCATCAGACGCTCAAGAAGTGATATTAACTTGTCGTGAATCCGTAGTAGTACTGTCAGCTTATATACGTCAGTTACCTTTTCATTTTCTATGTTTTCATCAATTTCCATGAACAACCTGTTAAGTATGGATTCTTCCTCTGTGCCGTTTTTAACAATTCTAAGAATCACATATTTGATGCTATCAAAAGCTTCCATAACAGCACAACGCCTGTACTCACTGCTACAGATTTTCGACCAAAGCCATCGATCAGGAGCATCACAGAGCTCGTTTGCCTGGCTTAACGCAAGTAGAAGCTCATTGCATAGGAGGAAACACGGCCAACGAATAACCCGAATATTCCAACAATTAGGGGGCAACTCAAGTAGTTCAACCTCCCTGTCACTTATAAGGTCTTCCTCCCTAAATGTGAGGATTATCTCATTCCATATCAGGGCAAACCAAGTTGCTTCAACTTGACTAGATTCGATCTTTTTGAAAGGCTGACCAATTCCATATCGCAACTTCAGCCGGTGAATAGCATCACGAACCTTCTTAAGCACTGTTGCTTTAGGGCTCAAAAGATGCTCTTCAGGTTTAAGGTTAAACTGCATAGCACTTGAAAAGAACTGAAATCTAAGTCTCAACTGATCAATGTTCCGGATCTCCCCCAAGTGGGAAAACAGACCAATTGTAGCACCTACCAGGGATGAGTAGATCGAGTACCAAATTTGCAAGTCCATCAGGTAAATCAAAATAACAGGGAGCCAGAGCATCACTACCGCTATTCTGTGAGTACTGCCAAAAAACTCGTGCCAATTATAAGGCGCATTTTTTAGGTTCAGGAGTGCTCTAGTCGGAGGAATTAGAGGCCTGATTTGTAAGAAGTAACTGAATATGAATTTAGTGGCCAATACAATAACCCAAAATATTGAATACTTAACATTGTCCACCAGGCCTTCCCTCATTCCACGACCAACAAAAACCTTACTATAGAACCACCATGTCAGTAAGTAAACAAGTCCAAGATTCAGTTCTTCGACCCAGTTCCTTACCCAAGGAACAATAAACAGTATAAGAGCCAATAGCTCAGGCATAACATAGACGAAAACTACCTTGAGGAACGTGACAATCCTCTCGTCTGCTGCTGTAGACCACTTACCATCCGCATTTTTCTGCCTCCAAATCCTTGCATAGAAGACTGAAAACAAAACTGTCCATGTCAAAGCCACCACAAACTTCAAAATCAGTCTGACAAAAAGCCAGAACGTTTCTCTGCCCACCAAACTATACTGAGTACTAGCATCAAGCAGGGACTGGAGCAACCTCAAGCCCGCCCATGTGATAAAAACAGTCAACAATGCAACCTACAAGTAGAAGAACAAAAACTAATGTCTTTATATACCAGCACAACACAACTCTTATATGGTATATATAGATCCCCAAAAAAAGAAGAAGATAAAAGCTCAATTTTATACCTCCACATCACGGTCTTGCCACGGCCACTGAAACTTAACATCACTCGTAGCAACGATAATAGCTGCCTGTAAGTAGAGAATCAATAAAATCCATAACCGATCAAAGCTTCTAAACACATTCCAAAATGATCTCTGCTCCACAAACCCAGTCTTCCCCACTCTACTGCTTTTAGGTGTGGTATCGAAGAAATTACTGGTGTAATCAAGAGGCCATTTAAGGCTCTTCAAGGCTCTCTTGCTCCAGAAATACTCGTTAATGTCGTCGTAATTTCTCCAAGCAGAATGTGGCTTCGTCCCATTGTTGCTACTCTCAACCTCCGTCTTAATCGTCTTGTAAATCGGCATGACCACACTCTTGAGAAAAGCGCAATCACCGGAAAATGAAGGCCAATAAAGCATTCCGGTCATATCGTCGAACTCTCCGTCGAGTACTTTGTTTAGTTCCATAGCCATATGGTGAAATATGTAGCAAAGACACTCCGGCATAAACCGGAGATTCGCCGATTCTCCCCAAATCAATAGATACAAAGCTACATAGAGAAGCTCGCGCCGGAGATTCAAAACGACGTTGGTTTGGTGAGGGCTATGGGTAGGGCTGGTGACGTGGCACCTCACTCCGAGGAAGGAGCACCAATTCGTGTAGTTGCGGAGTAGCTTCTTCCGAAAACGGCGGAGAACGGTGGGATCGAGACCGTCGGGATGACGTGGCGGCGGTTGTAGCCGCATTTGGGAATTAGCTAAGTGGAGGACGAGATTCTCTCTCTGATTCCGAACGTTGTCGTTTTGAAACCCGAAGAGAAGACCAAGCCAGTCCATCAAGTCCATGCGTTGTGTGAAATCGACGAACGGCGGTTTCGCAAGATCTCCGACTATTCTAAGCGCCGCCGCCGCCGCTCTAACCTCCGGATAACGCAGCGACGGGTGTTCCGTTACGAAATCGTGGATCGGAATGATATTGTAAGTCTCAAGCGACGGCGCGTGAATCTGCGCGGTGGCCATTGGTGGCCTTTGCCTCATGAAGCTCATCTCCGGTGTGGTTTCTTTACTCAGAATCTTTTTCAAAAGAATTTCATCTTTTTTTCTTTTCTTTTAAGTTTCAAAAGACAGTGACGAAACGAAACTGTGCAGATAATAATGATATTTACTAAAAGAAACAAATTGAAAAAAATAGATAATGGTGTGGGTCTAGTCGTACAATAATTACATGCTCTTTGAATTACTGATCGTTGGATCGTTTTAATGCTTTTATGCAAGATATGATTGGACGGTGGAGATTAGGTACACATAGCGTCCACGAAAGGAGACGTGTAGGGCTTAGTGCGGTGGTAAGACACGTGCGATTACGCGCGTGTGATAAAACTCGAGACGATCACTGAAATCGAGTGAGAAACAAAACAAGCATTATATCCGTTTTCTTATGCTCGTGGGCACAAAAACGGCAACGTTTTAATAAGGAACAAAATTAATAAATGAGCCAAAACGACGTAGTATTGACGAGGATTAAGAAAAGAAAACTGAAAAAGGCAACTAGTGACCGACTAGTGATTGTTCTTATGAATGAAACTATGAAAGTGATGGCATTTTTCGTCGTGTTGGTATCTTTTTATATAATTTAGATTAGAAATTTAAAAACGTAATTTAAAAAGAAAAAAAAAAAACCATTTTGCTAATCTCACGGAGCCTTATCGTATCACAGTCAAATTAAAAAGGCGTTTTGGGGAAAAACATTAAAAAAAAGAAGATCACGTTATTATTTGGATTTGACCTAAAGAAGGAAACTTTTTTGCAGCAGCCGAACATCGAATCTTATGTAGTTTAATTTGTTTTTTCTTTTTGTTGTCGAGTACAATCTTCAAAACATTATAAGATTCAAGACAAGACCATAACTTTATGCTCTTTCCAAAATAAAAAGGTATATTCTCTTACCTCTCTGGCATCCATTTGCTAACAATTAGGAATTTTATATGACTGCAAATACTCTTATATACACACATTAAGCCATGTCAGAACTAAGAAAACTAATAAGACACAAAAAAAAGACTTATATAACTTTGTTTACTAATCTTTTCTATCATCTGAATTTTTATTTGAATTCTTGTTTGAGAACAAAGTCAAATTGTTTACTACAATCCTCTTTCCTACCTTTTTTCTAACAACCAAAATCTG